AGGACAGGGCGCTGGATTCCAGGCGGCAGCCGAGTCAGGGACTGGGGAGACTCCGGGCCCCAAGTCCGAAGGCCCAGACTCCCCGGGCGGGAAGGGGCTCCGGCCACGCGGCCCCTCCTGGCTCTGGAGAGCCCCGTGGTCCCTGGAGTCGTCCCCGTGACCTGACCTCTGCCTGGCCCGGGTGAGGCGGACGCCAGGGCAGGAGGCTGGGCCACCCTGGAGAGGGGTGACCCTCCCCTCCACCTCCCCAGACCTGTTGACCCTGGGGTCTGGGTCCTCAGGGTCTGGGTCAGAACGTGGTCCCCAGAGACCCGCGGACCCCACACTCACCATGAAACCTGCCTCCGCCTCCCACCCGGCCTCCTCACTCAAGCCGTGCACCCAAGGCCTCAGGGCCTGGGTCGGGACGTGGTCCCCAAGGACCCTCCACTGGGCCCTCCACCTGCCGCGGCACCCACCCTCCAGCTCCCAACAGCCCCCCGGCCAGCCGCGCACCCAAGGTGGCGAGGACATGCCGGAGCTCGGCGCCCATGACCGTGCCGTTGCTCTCCTTGTCGAAGACGCGCAGCCCCTCCACGAAGTCCTCGTAGGTGCCCTGCTCCTTATTGCGGGAGATGTGCTGCAGGATGGGCAGGAACGTCTCGAAGTCCAGCATCTTGGCGCTCATCTCTTCAGGGGCAGAGAGACGGCCGCGTGGGCAGCTGCTCCGGCAGGGGCCTCCCCTAGCACCGCTGGGGCAGGGGCTGCCCAGGAACAAGGCTGGGCACCTGAGCCCGCGAGACCCGGCTCGGGGCCCTCTTCCCCAGTAGAAGGACTAGGGCCGCAGGAGGAAGAGGCCAGACTCCACCAGACCTCGGGGAGGCCGCTTGGGCAGGGAGCTGCAGCGAGGGCCACGGGCGGAAGGCCCACGGGCCACACACTCACAGTGCGGACATCGACCTGTAACAGCCCTACGGTCCCAAAGGCAAACCCACAGGGCCGAAGAAAGGCATGTTGCAGGACTGCAGGGGCCCATCTCCTGAGACACCCTGCTCAGCGCCATGCTGAGTCGGGAATGCTGCACACGTGTGGTTCTCTTGTGAACAGCACACCTCTCCTGCATGGCGTGTGTCAGAAGCTTAATATCCAGCCTGAGCAATGTGGCAAGACCTTGTCTACAAATAATCAAAAAGTTAGCCAGGCTTGGTGGCACACACCGGCAGCCCCAGCTGACTGGGAGGCTGAGGAGAGAGGATCACCTGAGCCCAGGAGGTCAAGGCTGGGGTGAGCCATGATTATGCCACTGCACTCCAGCCTGGGCAGCACGGTGGAACCCCAACTCAAGAAAAAAAAATAAAGACCAGGCATAGTGATTCATGCCTGTCATCCCAGCACTTTGGGAGGCAGAGGCCAGAGGACTGTCTGAGCCCAGGGATTAGAGACCCACCTGGGCAACTTGGCAAAACCTCGTCTCTACAGTAAATCAAAAAATGAGCCGGGCGTGGTGGCACGTGCCTGTGGTCCCAGCTACTTGGAAGGCTGAGGCGGAAGGATCACCTGAGGCCAGCAGGTCCACGCTGCTGTGGCCATGAGTGTGCCACTGCCCTCCAGCCTGGGCAACAAAGTGGGACTCTGACTAAAAAAAAAAAAAAAAAAAGGTCACAGGATCTCTCAGGGCTGCGACAGCCACCTCAACAGAGCCACTGGGGTGGGGCAGAGCTGCGGGGTGGCTGTCAGGTTCCCCCTTGCCCTCCTGCCGGCTGTGTCTCCGGCACCCTGGGGAGTCAGCTGAGGACAAGCCTGGGTCACATTCCTCACGGTCCCACCACAGGCAGGGGCTTCTAGATCAGCTCCTGAGATGGGACTGGCCCAGGAGGCGGGAGCTAGATCTGGCGAGGATCCAGTGTGGCCTCCCTCCACAGGCCAGCTGTACCTTCGGGCTTGGGCTTGCCCAGGACGCGCAGCACCTCGGCGTTGGTGGGGTTCTGGCCCAGCGCCCGCAGCACGTCCCCGCATTGCCCGTAGGTGATCTTCATCTCTCCCGTCGGGGTCCGGTCAAACAGTGAGAAGGCCTCCTTGAACTCTGCGGAGGACGCCAGCTTCGCCCGGGTACAGGAGGCGGGGGCTGGACCGCCCAGCCTCCCCCGGGCGGAGCAGCAGTCCATATGGCTCCCGCATCTCAGGCCCTCCCCAGCCCTGCCTTTCTGGGACAGCGTAAGAGGCCGCCTGGTGCCCCAGGCCCACCCCAGCGTGGGCCCGGGGGTCCCTCCACGTCCCTACTCCCCCACCTCCCCACCCCCGCTGTTGTCACATGATGTGAACTGCTCCCTGGCCCCCACCCACTCAAGCTCCTAAATGAAATGGCAGAACTTGTTCCCAAGAACAAAAAGCATAAAAGAAATCAGGGTCATGTTGCCTAGAGAAAACAAGCCTAAGAAGGAAAAAATGCCCTCACTTTGTAGATAAGAAAATTAAGATTTCTGTAATCCCAGCACTTAGGGAGGCCAAGGTGAGAGGACTGCCTGAGCCCACGGGTTAGAGACCAGCCAGGCTTGGCAAGACCTCGTCTCTACAATAAGTCAAAAAATTAGCCAGGCATGGTAGCACGTGCCTATAGTTCCCGCTGCTTGGAAGGCTGAGGCAGAAGGATCACCAGAGCCCAGCAGGTCAACCCTGGGGTGGCTATGAGCGTGCCACTGCACTCCAGCCTGGGAGACCAAGCAAGACCTTGTCTCAAAAACAAAAAAAAAGGCCAGGCGCAGCAGCTCACACCTGTAATCCCAGCACTTTGGGAGGCCAAGGCGAGAGGATTGCCTGAGCCCAGGGATTCAAGACCAGCCTGGGCAAACATGGTGAGACCTAGTCTCTACAATAAATCAAAAAATTAGCTGGGTGTGGTGGCATACGCCTGAAGTTCTAGCTCTTTGAAAGGCTGAGGCAGAAGGACCACCTGAGGCCAGCAGGTCGAGGCTGTGGTGGCCATGAGCGTGCCACCGCACTCCAGCCTCGGAGACAGAGGGAGACTCCAAGTCAAAAAAAAAGAGGATGTGCTTAGCCTGAGGGAGTTAGATCAGGTCATCTTTCAAATGTCTTTCAAATCCTGGGATTTTGTGGTCCTGGGAGCATTTGGTAGGGGACAGAGGGGCACGGGGCACAGCAGGGAGCCCTCTTTGCATCCGGGGTCATGTAGCTGTCACAGGATGAAACATGTAACTCTCCGACGCCAGACTCCCACCAGTGGCGAGACATGGAGCTGGAAGATGGTGGGCTTTGGCAACATGTATGAGGGAGGAGAAGAGCTGTGGCGGACCACACTGTCGCTGACTGCCCTGCCACCATTTGGATCACGTCTGGGCAGATGCAGTGATGGGGGAGGGGACACTGGTAGCCTCAGAGGGGCTTTCCAGTAGCTGGGCCAGAAACAAGAGCTTCCAGATTCTTCCATAGATTTGGGGGTGTAGGAAAAAAGGCACGAAGGTTTGCTGAGCATCTCTGGTGGCCCTGGCGATCTGGCAGGGTAGCTGAGGTCACATGTCTCAAGTCAGGTCTGCCTGAGCCTGCATGGACCACCCGTGAGACAAGCCCTGACCTCGCCGTACCTGGTTTCACTCCCTGTAGCATGCAGGTGGTAAGCTGGGTGCCGTGGCTCACGCCTCTAATCCTAGCACTTTGGGAGGCCGAGGTGAGAGGATTGCCTAAGCTCTCGGGTTCGAGACCAGCCTGGGCAACTTGGCGAGACCTCATCTCCAGACATGGAGATTAGCCAGATATGGTGTTGTCTGCCTGTAGTCCCAGCTACTTGGAAGGCTGAGGTAGAAGGATTGCCTGAACCCAGCAGGAGCAGGTCGAGGCTGCAGCGGCCGTGGGCTTGCCACTATGCTCCAGTCTGGGGACAGAGTGAGACTCCAACTCAAAAAAAAAACAAAAGAATGCAAAGTGGTGACAGCGGCTGCTGCTGGTGTGTTCTGAGAATTAAACAAGTGGATCTGTGTAAAGTGCTGAGGACTGTGCCTGGCCCAGGGCGGATGTTCAAGACAGGAGTGCTGGGTGACAGTATTAATGATCACTACTACCACGAGGATGACACCGCCCCCTGGTCCACCTCCCCTTCGTCCCCCTCCCCTTCCTCCTCTCCCTCCTCCCCTTCCTCCCCCTCTTCCCCTGACTCCTCCTCCCACTCCTTCCCATTCCCTCAGCATCCTTCCCTTCCCCCCCTTCCCTTCCCCCCCCTCCCCTTTCGCCTTCCCCCTCTCCTACCTCCTCCCCTTTCCCCTCCCTGTCCCCCAGGAAAGCACAACAGGGCAGGAAGGTGGGGTTGTCCCCACTCACCTTCGATCTGGTCCGTGGTGAAGTCTATCTGTGGGGAGGGAAACAAGCGTGAGGGCTGGGATTGTGGAGGCCGCTGCAAAGGCCCCCCCGCAGGGAGCAGAAGTGGCCTCCTGTGGGCCTCTAATGAGGGAAGCTTCCCCTGGAGCCGCATTCGCCACCCCAGTCTCCTGAGGAGAGAGCCACGACAGGCTACGCATCCATAGGCTTGGGATCAGCAAGTCACAGATTGAAAATATTCAGAAAAATACATCAATAAAAAATAACAAGCCGGGCTTGGTGGCTCAGCCTGTAATCCCACACCTTGGGAGGCCGAGGTGAGTGGATTGCCTGAGTCCGTGGGTTAGAGACCTGCCTGGGCAACTTGGCGAGACCTCATCTCTACAATAAATGAAAAATCAGCCGGGCGTGGTAGCGCGCACCTGTAATTCTGGCTACTTGGAAGGCTGAGGCGGAAGGATCGCCGGAGCCCGGCAGGTCAAGGCTGCAGTGGCCGGGAGCGCCACTGCACTCCAGTCTGGGCGATGGAGTGAAACTCCAACTCAAAAATAAATAAGTAAATAAATAACAACACATAGCTGGGCACAGTAGCTCGTGCCTGTCATCCCAGGCCTTTGGGAGGCAGAGGCAAGAGGAATGCCTAAGCCTAGGTTCAAGATCAGCCAGGGAAACTTGGCGAAACCTCGTCTCTACAATAAATAAAAAAATTAGTCAGGTGTGGTGCGCACCATTAGTTCCAGCTACTTGGGAGGCTAAGGTGGGAGTATCACCTGAGCCCAGCAGATCGAGGCAGCAATGGCCATGAGTATGGCACTGCACTCCACCTTGGGCGACAGAGAGAGACTCCACCTCAATAATAATAACAGTAAAACAATCAAATATAACACAAATTTTTAAAAATACAGCGTAACTATCACATAGGATTTACACCGTATTAGGTGTGACAAGTCATCCAGAGATGACTTGACGTGTGCGGAGGAGGTGAGTAGGTCATGTGTGAGCACTGTGCTGTCTTTGATCAGGACTCGAGCACCCTGGGACTTGGGCTGTCAGTGGGGGTCCTGGAAACAGTCCCCCACAGATATCGAGGGACAAGGGTCGTGCAGCCTCAAGCTCTCTCAGCGCCACTTGCAAAATGAGAGAGGAAGAGAAACTGGATAATTCTCGAACCCACACTCACTCCCTGTCGTCATTCCTCTGGGTCAGAGGTAAGCTCTTTCTCCAGGCCAGCCCCCTGCACCTCCATGGCTGCCCCTCCAGTCTTCCCCTTGGCCACGGTCCTCTGGTGAGCTTTGAGTCCTTCTTCCCTTGCTTGGGCGCCCACGAGTGCCCACCCTCGGATGCCTTTCTCTACTCCATGCCAACTTCACACCCACTTCCTTCCATGAATGAAGGCTTCCCACACCCCATGCCCGCCACACTTCTCCCTCGGCACCTGTCCCTGTTAAACAAAACTCATGGGAGGCTGTGAGTGTGAACTGGGCTCCTGCAGACCAAACTAAGATGGCATCGCTCACATTAAGGTCCGCAAGACCAGGCCACAGCGAAGCTGTCCATCGACCTTCTGAGAACTCAGGACAGTGGGAAATAATGACAGTGGCCCAGTCCCCGAGCAGGAGACTGTCAGCTGGCATGACAAGGAAGTCCCTCTGCTTTAACCTTTTCCAAAAAAGCAACTCTGATATGACCACCTCTCACTCTACTCTGTCCTGCCTGCCTTGGCCTCCGCACCTCCAAGCCCAGCCTCCACTGTAGGCTCCTCAGAACACTTGCCCTATTTCACAGAATGAGACGTTGCCAGTGTTTAGACTTGCAAATAGAGTGCAGTGGGCTGCTTAAGCTAACCGTGCTGTGACTTCATCCTCTGACACCCGCCCAGGCACCGGGGACAGGGCGCATGCATGGGCCTCTGCTTGCCGTCCCCACTTCCTGGCCTCTGCCCTTGAGGTCACGTCTCCCTTGGGGGAGGGATTTTCATTTTTGTTCATTGAAATATGTGGCACCCAGTAGGCACTCAAAACTATTTGTTCAGTGAAGGAATACATTTTGGATTTCCCTCAAGCGCATAATAATTCAGTGCTGAGGACAGTGAGTGACCACGGCCAAGAAAGAGCCGTCATTTTCTTTTAATTTTATTTTTATTGAAAGAACTAAAAACTGACCTGCCATATGACCCAGCAATCCCCTTACTGGGAATATATCCAGAGGAACTCAAATCATTCTACAAGAAAAGATACTTGCACGTGCATGTTTGTTGCAGCTCTGTTCACAATGGCAAAAACATGGAACCAACATGCTGCCCATCAAAGTCGGACCAGGTAAAAAAAAAATGTGGTACATATGCACAATGGAAAACTATGAGGCCAGAAAGAGGGACAAACATATGGACTTTGCAGCAACTTGGATGGATTTAGAATCTATAGCACTCAGTGATCTATCACAGAAACAGAAAACTGAGTACCACGTGTCCTCACTCATAAGCGGACCTTGAACAATTATCATAATACTATAAGAAAGGGATTGGCAGTAGTAGGAAACTGCCAGAGGAGGGGGGGTGGGATTGGCAGTAGTGGGAAACTGCCAGGGGGGAGGGGCACACCGCATCAACAAGGGTACCTGTTGGATAATGAACATTTGTATAGCTAACCCTAAATTGTACCCCACATCTTTAAAATTAAAATTTTTTTAAAAATTAGTTTTATTAGGCCAGGCACAGTGGTTCATACCTGTAATCCCAGCACTTTGGGAGGCCGAGGCCAGAAGACTGCCTGAGCCTAGGGGTTTAAGACCAACCTGGGCAAACTGGTGAGACCTCGTCTCTACAAGAAATTTTAAAAGTTAGCTGAGAATTAAAAGAATTAGCGGGTGGTCCACGCCTGTAGTCCCAGCTACTTGGGACTGGGAGTAAGGGCATACACCCCCAACTCCAACTAATTTTTAAATTTTTTGTGGAAATGAAGTCTCACTGTCTTGCCCAAGCTGGTCTCAAACTCCTGGGCTCAAGCAATCCTCCTGCCTCAGCCTCCCAAAGTTTACAGACGTGAGCCACAGTGCCTTGCCATCATTTTAATTTAAGGTCTTCCATGTTGCTCCATGGTCCTTACCCACCCACCCCATGCCTTCTCCACGGGTGGAGGGGATCCAACCTGGGCCAGCTTCTCCGAGGACCACCCTCCCTAGGCCTGCCCTGCTGCTGCTTCTGCGGGCCTATCCCATCTCGAGTCCCAGAACTGACCTCCATCGGTGAGGACTCGGGCTGATGGCATGGGCTGGCAGAATCTGGGGGATTAACTGGGTCGGAAGGAAGTCAGCTGTGTCCAGGAATGAACTTGCCAAGAGCAGGGGTGGTCGGAAGTTAGCAGAGCCCCCTAAATGGAGCTGAGAACGCTCTGCATTGACTCACCAAGGAAAGAGACAAGCTGCTTCCCTTTGCTTCAAGGCACAGGAGTGAACACGGAAGGGAAACTAATAGAAAAACATAAAATCTGAATAGGCAGTCATAACCACACGCCCGGGCTTAAGCTTGCCTCTTCTCTGTCTTTGAGCACAGACTCTTCAACTCCTGACCTCAAGGATCCTCCCACTTCGGCCTCCCAAGTGCTGGGATTGCAGGCCTGAGCCTCTGCGCCCAGCCTGAGCAAGGACTCTTCTAAGCAAGGGAAGTGGGTAAGTGCAATTCTAGGGAAAGTGACTCTGTTGAAAGGCACCTGCTTTTTCCTTCTACTTTAAAGTGACTTCTACAACTCCCAGGAAGAGGCAGACACGGCAAAGAGGACTGTACCAGGGTGAGACACTGAGGGAGGCGGGAGGGAAGGGTGAGGCCACGGGAAGGACACCGCCGGATACCACAAGTGGCAGCTGCCCAGTCCCCAGGGACCAAGCTTGGCAGCACGTGCGCAAACCTGGTGCTGTAGCAGGACAACTCAGAAACACAGGCAAGGAGGGGTCCTCCAGGGGATGGTCGGCTTAAAACCTTCAGGGGCCAGAGTCACACATGGGTCTGTTTGCCCGGAGTGAGTCATTCTCAAGCCCAGGAATGGTTCTGCCCAGCCTGTCCCCTGGGTGGGCTGGATCCTTGGCAGAGTGGCTGCCCAGATCCCTACTTGGGGCCGGGCAGGACCAGAGAGGCCGAGGGAGGGCCCCATGGATGGCGCCCTGGGTTCTGGGCGCCGGCTCATGTCACAGCCCGGGTCCTGCCTCTTGTTTTACCCCACCCCTCACCAGCTCAGAAGGCTGAGGTCCTGGGGGTGCCACTCTCCACCTGCTATTTATAGCCCTTGAGACCAGACTCCACTTGACCTCTCTGTTCTGTGCCAAGGTCAGCAGGCAGGGCTGACACCAACTCCAGGGAGATGAAGGTCCTGGCTGAGGGGAGCCAGGTGGGGCAGAGGAACTGGACCCGTTTCCTTGCAGGCAGGAGCATCTCGCCCCACCCAGTGGGCCAGTCCTCTGTGTCCTTCAGATGGAGGTCAGGGCTGAGGCCACAGGAGGAGGGGCTCATCTGGGCAGGGAGAAAGTCAGAGAGGGACCCAGGCTCCTCTTACCCCCATCGTGGCCTTCTCCCCACCTGCGCTCGCCCACTGTCGGGGCGTCTCAAGGAGCTTTGCTCAGCTTCCCCAACTCAGGCACAGAAAGCACATTCCATGCCTGTCTACACCACCCACTCCAGGCTACACTGGCAGCTGTCCGGATGTGCCTGTGCTCCATAAAGACCCCGAACGACCTCCGTGGAGGCCAGCCTCTGTGACTCTGTGTGGTGATCCACTGGGCACCTTAAAAGGGTGGGTGTTTGACTGGTCGCCCCTCCTGCCATTCCCAACTCTCCTGGGCAGATCTGGGATGGCAGGGCAGGGCCTCTTGGTCTTGAGGGGAAGGCCTAGGCCCAACACCCTGGGGGGCTGTGACCCGGGCAGGACACCCGCATCCTCGATCCCAGGCGTTGCCCACGCCACACAGCCTCTAAGCTTCCAGGCAGGTGGGGGCCCAAATCCGCCCCCAGCCCCGTCCCAGTGAGGAAGCCTCCTCACCTTTACGCTCTTGGGGTCAAAGGCAGGCTCCTTGGGGGCCTCGGGGGCTGGGGCCGGCGCAGGGGCCGGTGCGGGGGCCGGCTTGGCTGCCTCCTTCTTGGGCTCGGGCTTCTTGGGAGCCATGCTGTCCGCGGGCTCTGGGGCAGAGGCGAGGTCTAGGGACCCGTCGTGGTGCTGGGTGGGGAGCCGGAGCTTTTATCCAGGCAGGAGCCCCCACAGAGGGGCCGGGAGCCATGGCTGCTGACTATAAAAGGAAGAAACGCAGCAGGGCACAGCTGACAACTGGGTATTGTCACCGGGTCTGGGGCGACGGCCCCCTCCCTCACCCACACCTCGCTCTTCGGCCTCCCTGCCTGCCCATTGGTGGAGACTTGGGCCGACCCTCTTGGACAGCCAGGCTGTGAAGATGAGCTGACCTGGGCAGCTGAGGACCTCACACAAAGCCCAGGGGAGGCCGAGGCTTTTTTTAGCCCCTCCTGAGTGGGCAGCCCACGGCACATTCCTCTGAAGCCAAGATCCCTTAAGCCGAGCCACTCTGGGCCGGGACAGCAGCTGCCCGCCGCCCCCCGGCCAGCCCCTCCCGCCTGGTGGGAGCCCTGCTTCCTGGAGCGGTGGCCCTGAGGTCCCTGGAGCTGCCCCCACAGCGCACGCCCCCTCCACCTCCACCCCGTGGCCTCGTTCCTTCACCTCGTCCACACTTTGCTCACTCCTTCACCTGGGCCACGCGGCGTCACCCGTCCGCCACAGCCACTCCTCAGCCGCCCCTTCACATGTCGGTGAAGCCCCCGTTCACCTCAACTGCTCGACCGAGGTCGCTGGAAAAACCGTCCGTGAGCTGGGCTGTGACCAGGTGTGTCTGATTCCAGCACTGACATCTGGCCATTCCCAGGACCAGCTGCTTCCAGGAGGGGAGGTTCAGGAGCTCTGTGCTCTGCGGAGGGCCAGGATGACACACATGAAACCCACAGACACACCAGGACCGGGCAAGAACAGGGGGCTGGCAAGTCACCGTCTTGTGCTCGTTTCACCTCCTGTATGTATATATTTTTTAGTTGGGGTCTCACTCTGTTGCCCAGGTTGGAGGGCAGTGGCACATTCATGACGATATAGCTCACTGCAGCCTCAGCCTCCTGGGCTCAGGTGATCCTCCCACCTCAACCTTCTGAGTAGCTGGAGTTACAGGCAGGCTCCACTACATCTGGCCAATTTTTTGATTATTTGGAGAGATGAGGTCTTGCCATGTTGCCCAGGCTGGTCTCAAACTCCCAATCTCAAGCATCCTCCTGCCTCGGCCTCCCAAAGTGCTGGGATGACAGGCGTGTGCCACCATGCCTGGCCTCACTTCCTGTATTAATGGAGATTTTTTTTTTTTTTTTTTTTTTGAATTGGAGTCTCACTCTGTTGCCCAGACTGGAGTGCAGTGGCATGTCCTGGCCACCACAGCCTTGACCTGCTGGGCTCTGGCAATCCTTCCACTCAGCCTTCCGAGTAGCTGGAACTACAGACGCGTGCTACCATGCCTGGCTAATTTTTTTTGATTTATTGTAGAGATGAGGTCTCGCCAAGTTGCCCAGGTGGGTCTCGAACCTGAGGGCTCAGACAATTCACTCACCTCGGCCTCCCAAAGTGCGGGATGACAGGTTGAACCACAGCGGAGTTTTTTGTTTTTTTTTTTTTGTTGTTGTTGAATTGGAGTCTCACTCTGTCGCCCAGACTGGAGTGCAGTGGCCGCTCCCGGCCACCGCAGCCTGGACCTGCTGGGCTCCAGCGATCCTTCCGCCTCAGCCTTCCGAGTAGCTGGAATTACAGGCACGTGCTACCACGCCCGGCTGATTTTTTGATTTATTGTAGAGATGAGGTCTCGCTGCCCAGGCGGGTCTCGAACCCGCGGGCTCAGGCAATCCACTCACCTCAGCCTCCCAAAGGCACGTGATTACAGGCTGAGCCACCGAGCCGGTGAGATTTTTTTAATGAGTGTGTGCTGTCTTTGTTGAAAACTTTGGTACGATGTCCACTTGTATACCTAATCCTGAATTGTATCCCACATCTTTAAAATAAAATATTTTTTAAAAACTTTGAAAATCGATAAAATATTCGGAAAAACAGCAGCGCAGCTATCCACTACACAGAGCTGCTTTGCACTGAGACTTCACACTCTGCTACTCAGAGAAGAAAGAGGTGTGAGCCGGGAGGAGCCGAGAAGTCCCTTGGCATCCCAGGCCCTGCCTCCCCACCTGCAGAGCAGGTTCACAGGTCAGCCTCAGGCATGGCTTTCCTGCCGGGGCTGCCTTTTCTGCCTTTTTAAAGTGCCTAGTCTGCCTTTTCTGGCCTGCGGGCTCTGCACCCCAGAGCTTTGCTCTCAGAGGCCAGAGGGCCCCGGGGGTCACCCCGCCCCATCCAGCTTTACAGGCCCAGGAGAGACTGAGCTTGCCTGAGAGGCTCAGTTACTTGTGGGCAGAGATGGAAGGGCTGCTCCTCAGGATGGTGCCCCTGCAGAGGAGGGTGATGCTCCCCCAGAGGAGGGCGGTGCTCCCCCAGAGCTCACCAGCCCACCTCCTCACGCCCACCGCCTGTGTGGGCAGGAGCACCCTAAGGCAAGAAAAGGGGCCAGGACTCGCCCAAGGGGATACTAGAATTAGCTCAGGCCCAGACCCCAGGCCAGTCCTGTCCTGAGCTGGGCCCACAGCCCCGCCGCGGCGCCCCTCTGCCCTTCCACCCCACATCTTCTGACCCGCCTGTCCCCCTTGTCCCCTATCAAAGCCCACACCCTGTCACCCCTATTCCCTGCCAGGCCCTCCCTGGCCAGCCTCACTCCCCTTGGGGCTGGGAGCTTGGTTTTTGGCAGCAAGGGAGGAGCCGGGGAGGAGTCCAGGCCCTCGCCCTCTCAGCCCCCACCTGCACCCTGTCCCGGCGAGGCATCCTGCCCAGTTTGCACAGACACACGACCGAGGCCTCTGGAGGAGGCAAAGGGTGAACTGAGTGTTTGGGCAGCGCCACTGGCCACCGGTAGCACCCAGTTGCTTAATCTACAAGAGGGATCACCAGGAGTGCTCAGATAACATTCCAGAGTCCCTGACTCTGTGCACCTCTCCAGGCTGTGAGGGACACAGGGAGCCTCCAGCCCAGTCCCTCAGTCAGCACTGGCCCGATGTGTTGCAGGCGCTGGGGCTCCCACCATCACCTCCTGAGAAACGGGCCCAGGGCTCAAAACTTAAGTAGCGCCAGAATGAGAGAGCTGGCCTCCCAGATAAAATGAGTCATGCTGTTCATTCCAGAAGGAAGTGTCAGCCACAAGAGCTGGAATGCTGTTGTTCTCTTTCCTTTCTCTCATGCAAATTCCAAAAGGAGCAAAAGATGGCAGCTGCACAGCAGCAGGGCCACGAGGCTAGAGGGGAGAAGGTGGGGGGTCCAGGGGCCCCCAAATCTCAAAAGGGAAGATGAGGGGGTCTAGGGGTCCCCAAATCACGGAGGGAGGAAGGTGAGGGGTCTAGGGTTCCCAAATCACCAAATGTGGGAAGGTGAGGGGTCTAGGGGCCCCCAAATCACAGTGGGGGAAGCTGGGGCATCTAGAGGGTCCCCAAATCATAGAGGGGTAAAAGTGGGGGGTCTAGGGTTCTTAAATCACAGAGTGTGGGAACATGGTTGTTCTAGGGGGTCCCCAAATCACAAAGGGGAAATGTGGGAGGTCTAGAGGTCCCCAAATCACATGGGGTGAGGCGGGGGTGTCTAAAGATCCCCAAGTCACAGAAGGGGAAGGTGGGTCTAGTGGTCCTCAGATCACAGAGAGGTGAAGATGGGGGAGCTAAAGATCCCCAGATCACAGAGGGGGAAGGTGAGGGGTCTAGAGGACCCCAAATCACAGAGGGGGAATGATGGGGGTCTCAGGGGTCCCCACATCACACAGTGAGTTTTGGTGGCCGAGGACCGTGGCACTCTGTCCCATGATGTTACCTCCTGATCGCAGGCTCAGCAGCCTCAGGACAGTCACAGTCAATATCCATGTCCAGCTGAGGAGACAGTGTGGGTCAGGCACCGCACATGCCTCTAGCACACAGGAAGCTTCCTGGATGTCAGTTTCGTTTCGCTTTGCCAGGCAGGTGGGCCAGAGGTGTGTCCAGGCTTCCCGGACTTCGTTGAAGGAACACCAGGGGAGGGGAGGGGCCCCCCTGGGAGGGACAGGGTAAGATGGCAGCAGAGAAAGGGACTGTGAGGTGTGGGGTCAGGAATGAGGAGGAGGCAGGGGGAATGGCATGGGTGCAGGGAGGCAGCTGGAACACACGTGTGAAATACTTGTGGCACTGAAGGCATGTGGCAGGTTCCAAAGGCCAGGTGACCTGAGGAGGAGGCACCCCGAGGAGGAGCTCCAGGCCCCAGGCCCCTCGTCCCAGCTCCCTGGCAGGGAGAAAACTTCCTCCAAGTTTCCAGAAGTCCCACAAAAAAACCCTGGCACTTGAGTGGACAGTGGCCTCAAGGAAGAGCCAGACATGCAAGGGAAGACACGGATGCCTGGTCTGGTGGTCACCAAAGCCACGGTGCATCCAAGCCCAGCACTGGGGCCAGGGGCTGCTCCTGCCACAGCCCCCTTCCGTCCGAGGGTCACCGCCGCCCCCCCCCCAGAGGCCAGTCACCCAGAGCACTCTTCTCCAGCCTAGACAAGGGCCTGCCCTCCAATGAGTGTCAACCGCTCCATAAAGGAAAGAAAGGCCAAGGGTGGGGGCGAGTGTGGCCACCCCGCACCCCTGCAGCATCTGGGGTCTCTGAGGCCACAGCCCCTCAGGCTGCCTGCATGCTCCTGTTAGACGGACTTCAGATTCCGCGACTGAAAACAGGGCAGAATTCCACACCAACCAGCTTTCATCAGATGTCCAGTCCAGGCACCACGGCACTAAGAACACTGGCTTCAGCCGCATATGGGCTCACAGACACCCAGCCCCCCTCCTCTCCTCCCCTCCAAGTGCCGCCTGGCCCGGGACCTGTGTCCTGCTGAGAGACTCCCCCAGCGTCCCTGCCAGGGATCAAATGCCGCTGACAGCAGTCCTGGCTGTGGATGCCTGTCCTTGTCACCCTCCCTCCTCTCTGCTGGCCAATGTCTCATGAGCCTGAATATCACTGGCGCTGGTCAACCCCATGTTATCCAACTGCGCTGGGGAAT